TTGCCATAAATGAGTAATACCATATGCACCAACATTCATTGAGAGTCCACTTAATCTACAACATATTTTAAGTGAACAACGCCTTTGTCAATTTTTATAGAGCTTAAAATGTTCTTTTCATAAGAATTACATGGAGAAATTCTATTCTTTGTGCTTTAAAATATACTCTCATTTAAGAGATCCCTTGAAGTGATCTCTTGAAATGAAATGATAGAGAATGCATTTCATATGAAAAGCCATGTCATAATCTCAATTTCCCACAGTTCTGAGGTTAGTGGAACATCAGAAGATGGATTTGAGTCCTTTCTTTCACCTCTATCAAGTCACCTAAGCTCTCTGAGCATCCATTTCTTAAACCTCTCCCAATAGGGCTGGTGTAAGAATAAGTCAATGTGTATGAAAGCTTTTTGTAAACTCTTAGTCACTTTAGGAATGTAACATTATTTCCTTACTTTAAAAAATCATTATTTATTGTTCATTATCAAATTGCATCCGTTATACTAGTGATAAGTATTTTGGTCAATACTTATAAAACTCTGGAGTCAAACACTGAGAGTGGCAATACAGTCAAATAACTGTATGATTCAGATTGGGAGTTCCCTACTTTATAACCCATCAACTCTTAGACTTAGCAACCTCTAAGCTTAAAATGCACATCTCACATATTTATAAAATATTGAACCTTGACGTAGCCATCATATTCTGTAAACATTTTAAAAACCAGGAGGTAATACATGAAGACAATCAAATTTGTTGCCAAACCTTCCTGAACCCAGCTGATATGGCACATCAAGATGGATCTCATAGTTATACATCTACACAGGAATGTTTAGAGATAAGATGAAAGTGGTCCTTCTTATTAATCACACATTGTATATTTGACTTCTGTCTCTCTCCTCAGCCTTTAAATCAACTACATCTGGATTTTGCTACTTAAGAGTGCCATTACCTTACACATTAAAAGGCAGTTACTGCTAAAGAAAGCAGCTCCATTTGATTTAAAAACGATTAACTAGTTATATTCATATTACTCATCATGGCAGCCCAAATGATAATTTTATTGTAGGTTGGAGACCTACTTTATTTCTCTAACAGAGCCAGCAGAATTAGGAGGTTTTTTTGGTGATGAAGGCTGACATAAAAGCAGTTATTTTGCTTTGCTGTTATTAACTTTTACAGTTTAGGAAAGCATAGTAATACAAGATAGACAGACAGATAATAGAGTCTATCATAAGTAGATTCAAGCTATGCTGGAGGTATCCTCTTCTATGGAGACTGGGAAATATGATTATTATTGCACCAAGAGTAAGTCAGGCTCTGAAACTGATGACCACTAACCAACTGCATTAAAAAAATTATGTGTAATTATCAAGCAGATTGTATCAGAGCTCAGTGATTAGTGACTTCTTTGTCAGGAGAAATCTACATGGGAAACTTAAGTTGTTTTTTTGACATGTCTTCATAAGCAGGAAGTCTGACATATCAGAAATAATTTGATGGTATAAATTATTGGCACTCAAGGAAATGTTATGAGCAACATTAAGAAGCTTGCTCCAGAATATAAGTTAAAGTGTGAGAGCATCTCTTTCTTCACTGAGAAAGTCTTGCTCCACTATCTCTATATACACATACTTATGTTGCATAAGTAAACTTAGTGGCACTAATTTACATTCTGGCACAAGTTCTTTATCTCATGGCAGACTATTCTCATACAGGCAATTATTCTTTGGACCACACCTTGAGAAGCACTGATCTTTGCCTGAAACAGAATCACGGTTGGAAGCTTTTGAAAACATATAGTTTTCTAGTAATATACCATTGAAAATTCTGAGTCAGAGTCTGATGTGTTGTACCTTTACATGCATTTTTAAAACACTCTCCATGTAGTTTTTTTTTTTTTTTTGATGAACATACAAGGTTTAGGAGCTACATAATAAAATATGTAGAATAATTAAGTAGTGCCAAGCTGAATAGATTCTAGGGGTGTCGAACTCAATCAGAGAAGGGGCCAAAATCTAAAATCCAGCCTAAATCGCGGGCCGAATGGTTTACTGAACAGTCATAAACTGTCATTGTGATGGAAACGCAGCGGAGTGCAGTGATGACAGCGCGGTGCGGGCCACATTGCAAGGCCTGGCGGGACGGATTTGGCCCGCGGGCCTTGTGTTTGACACATGTGGATTAGAGGTTAAGAACATGGGTTGACAGTGACAATTGAGTTCTTGTTTCTTCTTGAGCAAGTTGTGAATTTTCTAAGCCTCAATAACCTGTTCTATGATGAGTCTATAAAAAAAAGTGCTGTTATTCAAAGAAAAATAAAAGCACTTAACTCAGTGCCTACCACTGAGTAGACAATTAATAAATATCAGCTATAAATGATAAATAATCTCCTAGATCAAGATTTACCTGCCCTATTTGAGAATATACATGTTCATATACATATTTATTCCCTATACATGCAAAGAACATGCTTCTAATGTTTGCCTATCTGAAGCTTTCTTTAATAAAAGCTATCAAAAGCATGTATCAAGACTCTTTTGGTTGTGTTAGAAATATAAATTAATGTGACTGAAGAAAAAAAAAGTGGACTGCTTAACGGGAGATTATTAGATCATATAGTTTACAACTGAATGCCCAAGGGTGGATCTGGCTAAAAACTTGACTGGATTAAGGTGCTCTAAAAATATACTTCTAGCCCTGGCCAGGTGGCTCAGTTGGTTAAAGCATCATCCCACACAAAAGCTTGCTGGTTCCTTTCTCTCTCTCCCTCTCTCTCTCTCTCTCTCTCTCTCTCTCTCTCTCTCTCTCTCTCTTTTTCTCCCTCCCTTCCTCCCTCCTCCTTCCTCTACCTGTCTCTCCCCCCCCTTATCCCTCTCTCTAACATCAATAAAAACATTAAAAATATCCTCAGATGAGGATTAAAATATTTTAATAAACATATATATATCCTTCCATCTATATTACCTGTCAGTCTGTCTATCTTTCTGTCTGTCTTTCTGAGTTGGCCTTATTCTTAGGCTTCTTCTGGTTTTGTGATTAAAATCTTAGGCATATATGTTACCAGCTTACTAAGCATAGAGGTAAAAAAAAATATTTTGTGAAATAGTTGGACAAAATTGTAGAACTGAGACTTAGTGTGCTTGTTTAGAATATTTTTGTATTCATGAACTATTCACTCTCTCTAAGTAAGAGCAGAACATTCTGGTTTTCAGGCTCAAACATATACCTACTCCTGAATCTAGGGGGATACAATTCCACCTGAAGTATTTGTTGTGAAGGTAGAAAAGATCATTTCCCAAAAGAAATTTAAGTAATGTAATTAAGAAAAGGGGAAACATGCAATACAAAATCCAAAACATCAAATGGCTGATACTCTGATCTACCATCCCTAACTCTACACTTCCATTGTTTAAATGTGTTAGTTCAAGCGGAATGAAGCCAAGATTTGGCTTAGAGACCTTACCTTTTGTTAAGATGATTTCCAGATATTTACTTTAATCTATTTTTATTTGTTTTATAATAACTTTTCGTAGGTTGAATCCCCCCGACACACTTCTAATTTGAGAATAAAATATGAAGGGGCATTACCTTATATTGACCAATAATAAAGGGATTTATTAAACACAGTATGAATTTGGTCCTAACTTTTCATTTCCTTTAGCTTCAGGCAGATTCATTCATATTTGATGAAGAGAAACAAGCCAGAGATGGTGTTAGAAAGTAAACTGCCAAAGATCCACAAAGGGGAATTTAGTTTTAGACTGTACTTAATGCAGGACAGTAATGTCACTGTGGATTATAAAATAGCGGATGCATTCTGGATCACTAAGTCAGTAAAAGTCACGTAGCTGTTAATGATTTGGAACCCAGCTTGTGAAGCACGACTTGGCAGAGCTATCAAGTGGTTAAAAGTGTCGGTATGAAAGCTAAGGACTTCAGCACTCAAATCCAAGTCTGGCTGTTTTTGTGGTGTGTGGCCTTGGACCTGACTTCTCTGGGATGCAATTTCCCCATATGTGTAATTAGGTAACAAAATGTAGTCACCACACAGTGGTGGGGGAGAATTAAGTGCTCTGAAAGGGAGGTGCAGGCTTCTTCTGTATTTTTGAGCAGTGCACATGCTTAGCTGTATTCTCCCAGATCCCTACCAGACTCTCAGATAGTACATCACATAGTAATTCTTCTTGGCCCCTATGGTACACCATTTATTTTATAACCGTGGTATTCTCAAAGATGGCACCATAAATAGGACTAAATATAACCCAAACCGAGAATGCCAAATGGAGCTTTATTGGCTATTTCATTGCCTTTTTTTAATTTTTATTTTAGCTTGCAAAGGAATAATGAGAATAGCTCCGAGGTCTTACCTATCTCCGAGGTTTTGCAGCTCGTTACATATTTGGCTACCTATACTTTAATATTCTTTTAAAAGCTTGTGTTTGGAGCATCTGTCCTCCCATTGCCATAACTCAGCACCATCTTTATTTTTCATTAAAGAAATGGAAGGAGGAGGCTAAATTTTTCTGAGGTGAGTGGTCAATATGGTGTAATGGAAAGACCAGGAAGCCAAGACTCTGACTTAAGTTGCCTAATGCTAACCCTGCTGCATTCTTGTTGAGTGACCTTGGGCTGTATTCACCTTCTCTTATTCCATTTTCTCGGCCAAAAAATGAAAAGGACGATGAGGCCATCTGTGCCTAACTCTCACGTCTTTGCTCCGAGGGTTAAATGAGATGATGTTGAAAGTAAGAAAGCACTATCCAAGTGCAAGTGTTCATTAAGCTTGTGATGATTACATACGTGTATCAGGCTATTAGCAGTTTGTTAACAACTGGATTCCTGTGTGCTCTGCTCCAGTTCCTCAGCTCCCAGAGATGCGAGGGGCCCAGCCAGATGGCTAATTTGCCAGCTGTGTCTCGTTTTGTCATTGTAAATATTACATGCTCCGACTGAGAGGCTTTGCTTATAATGTAGTATATTTGGTCCTTTATCTCTTGCAGATTGAGAATTACGTGGTGGAAAATATGAAGTCGGAAATGGCCCAGATACAGCAGAGTGCAGTTCAGAACCACACGGCCACCATGCTCGAGATAGGAACCAGCCTCCTCTCGCAGACCGCAGAGCAGACCAGAAAGCTGACAGATGTGGAGACGCAGGTACGACCCCTAGGCCAGTCTACAAACTCTTAACTGGGAAGATATTTTTCCCCCTGTTAGCTTACTCCATAAACACAGAGCACATTTCACACTGGGACTGGGGAAACATATACATTTTTTTGTTGGTTGGTAATAACAACAAGGACTGCCTGACGTGCTATGCATGTTTCTTTTGATTAGATGAGGGTTGGTATATTTAGCTTTGTATGTGTGTTTGTAAAAACAGGGCTGGCAGAGGACTTAATCAGTATTTCCATTCAAATAAACACTGCAGCTACCAAATGTGTTATGATGTGTGTCAAACAAAATAACCATTTGGGTCCAGTTGGTACCTTTTATATGCATTCTTTATCTGTCCTGCTTTGTCTCGTAGTTCTTAGCCATAGTGGCACCTGCCCAGGTTTTGTGCACAGTGTATAGGAAGGAAAACCCCAAATGAACTAATCAGGAATGTGTCATGGTTGTTTTTTTTAATTTTTTATTCAGCATGATATTATAATGAGGAGTTGATTAAAACTCTTTATCCATATGTATACATATGCATGAACATACATATGTATGTATGCATGATCCTCCCATGGACAATGACATACTTATTAATGCACAATCATACATATCTTTTATACAAATCAGTAAAATAGCCTTTATCACTGTCACAAACCTATTTTTTTAGTTTAGTGAAAATGTCATTTTTGGTGACAGGATCGATTATGGTCTCTTTATCTGCTTAGTACCATGAAAATAGCTATTTCAGCTACCATTCTGAAAACCAATATAGTTGATTTCTAGAATCAAAGCTGAGATAATTCTGTTAAAAGGTAAAATGAGGCACATTAAAATTGTCAAGAGTTTATTTGAGCAAACATTGGTTAGGATTGGGCAGTGCCTACCAGGGAACTAAGGGGAAGGTTTTAATAGAGAAGATGCAGAAGCAATCTGACTGGCTGTAGGTTAAGTAGTTGCCTTATTTGGGAAATCCTTGCTGGCTGTTTGTGATGGGTTTCATTTTCTTGGATTTAAGTGCGTTGATTCTGGCTTAGGTTTTGGTTTGCTTATGTAGGTTTCAGAGCATTACTGTTACCTCAGTCTAATTGCCTTCTTGTTTAATTATTTTAGCAATATAAACTTAAAAGTAAGATGCAACCTTATTTCTATTTTATTTCATTTGTGTTAATGGCATTACATTGCTGATATATATAAAGAGAAAGGATAATAATAATTTATATGGATAGAGCTTTTTATGTTACACAAACCAATTTCAATGTACAAACTACTTTTTATTTTTATCCTCACCTGAGGATGTTTTTTTCATTGCTTTTCAGAGAGAGTAGAAGGAAGGGGGGAGAGCAGAAAGAGAAACATCAATGGTTGCCTCCCATATGTGCCTTGACTGGGGCAAAGAATGAACCCCCAACCCAGGTACATGCCCTTGACTAGGAATCAAATCTTTGACCTTTGGGTACACAGGCCAACACTCTAATCAATGAGCTCATCAGCTAGGGCCAAATGACTTTTTTTGAAAATCATTTGGAGAAAATAGGTCAAAAAGCTTCAGTGATTTTTCTCACATTGACACAGCTATTGAAGCAAATCTGAGACTCCAACTGAAGCATACTCATTTATTTCTTTTGCTATCCCTCTTGAGTAATAATACTAATAATTAACTAATTGAACTAGAACTTAAATATGGATTACATTGGATCAGTACATCACGGAGACTTGGGAAAATATTTTTGATAATAGTACACTATCATCAGAAAACCATGAGGGATGAAGAAGGGAAAACTACATAAGATAACTAAAATATATGAGACTGTATATAGTCATTTATCATCACAGTAAGTAAGCTTAGGAGTCTATGAACATTGGCTTCTTGTGGTATCAATAATGTGAGTATATTTTTTTCTATTTTCATTGGAACAGGATACTAACCAGTTCCCACAAAGCATTCCATATATTCAAAAATTGAAATACACAATTAATATTACCCTACTTAGTTGAACATTTAAAATGTGTATGCATTTCAGTGATAACATTATAATAAGTTTTATGACAAACATGACATATTCTCCCCGCTTCCCTTCTCCCTTTCTCCCCTGAAAACCTCTTGAGTTATTTTTGTTCTCTTTCTACCCAGGAATTGGAGTTACAGGAGAGGGCAGGAATTTTCATTATCAGCCTACTAATCACTGCTGAGATACATACTATGTAAGATTTTGTAAGATAACAAACTTGTTCTACATCGTTAAGGCTAAGGGATATGGACCTTATGGTAAATAGCACAAATAACTCACAGGGGGGGGAAAAACACCAACCTACTCCTTATGTTGAGGAGCTAAAACTAAGTAGTCATTAAAGACCAATGAAAGTTTTAGATGCACCAAGAATTTTAACATAGCTGCAACCTTGAAAACATCTCAAAGATCTAAAATGCATCACAACTCACAATGACAGGGAGGCTCCAAACCCTTTTCCGGTGAATGTGCGGTGCTTATGGTGCTTATTTGAACTTTTGCAGCAGGATATGTTATCCTTAGGCCTAATGTGTCAGTGCACTCACATCCTGATGCATGACCAAGGTTACAGAATGAGTCCTGAATTATCGTTCATCTCCTTATACTCTATTCTTTTATAGCGAGCACTTAGAAACCAGTAAGGCCTTTTGTGCTAACCAGGAGTGCTCCTGGTTTTTGCTCTCATATTCATCCTACATTGTTTCATGCTTTGTGAGTGTGGCTCTCTCTAAACTGACTTCTGGTCCTCAGTTATTTCAGGAGCTCACACCAGTGGTTTTGCAATATATTTGTTCTAGAGATAAATAACATTGCTTTCCAGTCCTCTGCTCACCTTCCGGGCTTGACCTTAGCCAAAGGTGTTAAAGCCATGGTTTTACCGCAATGACATTTAAAAACACTCCCGTGCTCAATAAGCATCAAGATCAGTAAGGAGACAGATAATTTAAGTAATGCTGCTGGCCTTGGCAGTGAAAATCAGGAACCACCAGCAGCCTGTTTCTTCCTCTGTGTTCCAGCCTGCCGTGTTTTTCTCACTCTGTTATCAGTTTGTGCCAACATGTCCTCTCCTTCCAGTTCCTCTTTCCAAGTGTGCAACATGAGGGCGTTCCTTTCAAACATTATTCATGACCTTCCTGTAGTGAGAGTCTATTTTTGACTTCTTCCTCAGGCCAGTGTTGATTAGAGGGACAACAACAGATAAACTACATTAAAATTCACCTCTGATAACCTGCACTGAACTCTATTCTAAGAAACGTTGCATATATATTACCTATTTAATACTATACATATTTTTTTAATTCTATGAGGTAGGTACTATTACTATCTCATATTTAAAGATGTAGAAACTGGGCCTGGCCAGCATGATTCAGTGGTTGAGCATAGACCTACGGAACCAGGAGGTAAGGCTTAAATTTGTAGTCAGGGCACATGCTCAATCCTCAGTAGGGGACATCTCTCATCATTGATATTTCTATTTCTCTCCTCCTCTCCCTTCCTCTCTAAAACAAAAAAAAAAGTATATATTTTAAAAAATATGTAGAAACTGAAACCCAGGGAGGTGAAGCAACTCGACCCAGGTGAAAAACTGGTAAATGTCAGAGCAAATATTTGAACCCAGGAAGTTCAGCATCAGAGTCTAAATTCTGTTCCCTGTCTAAGGTGATGGGCACTAAATGGCTTTAAGCAGAGAGTTAGATGGGAATCGGATAAGGCAAAGGTAAAGTAAACCTGATAGTAGCCACTGAACGTTTTCTATAAGTGACACAGCTGCTGCTACTGCTTCTCTGCTGCTGCTGATGGTTCCCCTGTTATTGCCATGTGACTGCACACCATCTCCCTCAATCCAAGGGCCGGTGCTGTCCTTGCTGGCTGTGTAACTACAGGAAGTTCCTTCATACAGAGCCTGAGTTTCCTCCAATTTCCAATGATTGTAGAGGACCCAGAGTATTAGAAATGGAATTTAATCAAATTTACAAAGATATATTTTAAGTACCTCTTTGATGCAAGATATTTTAATAGGTGTTTTGTAGAATACAACAGTAAGTATAATAGTTCTTATCCTCAGCGAGTTTAACTGAGTTAACATGGCAAGCATTTCTAAGCCATTTCTTTTCTAACCTATCCTTGAATGAATTAGCTACAAAGTCTTTCCCTGTAGTTATAAAAATACACCTTTCTACTATGGGGAGTGTAACTGACCAATGGTTCTAGGTGCTATGCTCTGAAATCCATCACTGGGTGGGTACAGGGGCCACAATTTCCAGCGGCCACTTCCAGCCAGGGATACGTGGCAGCAACACTTGGGTCAGACCTGTTTCTGGGAGCTGTGAGACCCACGGACATGACCTTGGCAAAGGGCTTTCCGTCAGCCTCGTTAAACTTTCCCACAACTGTCCTGCAGACTAAGATTTCCACACAATCTCCCTTCCTTCTCTTTCCTCTTCACTGTGGCTAGACCTGCATCCCAGGCAGAAAGTACTCCTACAACTCTGGTGTCTTCTCAATTTTCCCTTACAGACATTTCTCCTAATAAATTCCCTGCATGTCTAATCTCATTTTAACATTTGCTCCTCAGAATTCATGAACTATCGCACCTGTTGTTCAGACTTCAATTGTACAATTACAAATGTTAGACGGTTCAGCAACAGTTTCATCAATGAGAATGAATCTCTAGGCAGAAATAGATTTGAAAGGTCAACTTTAAAAATGGAACCTCTGGACCTTTTTAATTGGATGAGAGACTAGTCAAATAAACATTTAGCCTTGGCCTAACTGAAATGGCAGTAAAATAAATTTGCCACTGGTTGGTCATCCAAGTAAAATATCCTGGTAATCAGTTTTCTCACAAGGTCTGGGAAAGGAGTGGGCTCAGAAAACTATGATCCAGAGGTCAAATTTGAACTGCCATCTCTTTTTTAAAATAAAGTTTTATTGAACACAGCTACACTCATTCATTTATATGTTATATATGGTTGCTTTCTCAAC